TACCCAAGGTCAAAAACTGTCGTACTGTATTAGAAAATGGCAGCGGCTCGCGGAATTGACATAATGTCCCGGTTTTTGTTTGTGGGTCCTCTAGTAGGTTAGGATAGGGCACTTTAGTACGACAGTTTCTTGATGTTGGGAACGCTCGCAAAAATGGGCTGGTTTTCTAATTGTTAGTTAAAAAATTGGTTAATTATGTATCAGGTATTTAATTGATCAGTTATAGTGTTATTGACTAGCTCAGCCTTGGGCCAGGCTTCTCCAGTGACTGCCTCATAGGCCAGGCAATTTGTGCTCCTGGCCCACAGAACCATGAGTGGGGCAAATGTGACACACCCTTCAGCAACCTTTGACATTCCCTCCTGAAGTAACCATTCCTCAAACATAATGCACCACAATTTGGATACTATTGATATTAGCATCCAAACTGAGGTGCTTTAGTGGAATTTAAGCGACTGGGTTTGTGCACATTGGTGGTCTAGTGTGAATTAACCTATATAGGTTAGGTGTGTTTATTTGGGTTTGTACACTTGGGGAGGACAGGATCACTTCAGATATAATCCTTGTCAAATTGTGAGTACATGTTTGAAGACTTTGCCTTTCTAATAGTACAGTGGTACCATTGTTTACGATCGTAATCCTTTCCCAGTGATGCGTCGTCAACCAAAAATTCATCAACCAAAACGAATTTTTCCGTAAGAAATAGCAATTTCATGTGAGTAGACAATAGGACATGGCAAACCTCCAATCTGATTTATACGGCATCCTTGGGTGTTTCAGTGGACCGCAGATAATATGATTAATGAAAATAAGTTCCAACTCCTGCGCTATGTAAAAACAAAAATGAAATAACAGAACACACATACAACGGAATCAAATTTCACTATAAAATGAAAAAGTAATGTAAACGATCTAGTTGTAATCATGCCGGTAGACATTACCTTTAAAGAACACAATAAAGTAGCTGTCATGACAAAAAAAAAATGACAGGTTGGATAAGAGGACCTCCCAAATAAGGGATGCCACACCAGTGATGATACTTTTTATCACTAGTGCTCTCTAGGGTTGAATATTGTTACACACTAACAGCTATCAGTGGTCCCCTAATTTATATCAAGATACCCCTGATAAAAATAATAATAAACCTACACTAATGCTTACTTATACAATAACACCATCACCAATGGAGCATACACTGGAGAGTCACCTTTTAATGATCTTAATTATGGAGGAAGGGGCTCATCGTCATACTGTTTGGGGAATGGGCTCGGAACTGGCCTATTATGAGTACACACCCCACGGAGTCAATATAACTTATGCTCTCTCTCCTTGCTTTGGGATGACCTCCACTTAGTTCCCCTTCATGATAGTATGCCTGCTGTTGACCGTCCTGCAATAATTATCTTTCTTTTAGAAATTCCCACCCTGACAAGTGCTAAGCAAGTTGTCTACAGACAATTATTACAAAAATACAAAGAATGAACAATAACAGCATAGTATCATCAGGTCCAACAAACTAGCATTACGCTTATATACTGTAATATCTGTGCTCCAAAAAATAAACTACGCAAGGCTGCTGCTTAATCTTCGCCAGCAACCTCCTGTCTTTTGCAGGAGGCAACTTGCATAACTTAACTCAAACAAGAAAATATTAGTGTTCTCACCTTACATTGTGTCATTTATAACATGAATTCATGCACTCCCTCAAGCAATAATGGTGTCTGTATAACTCTCTGTATTATGTCTTGAGGCCCACCACTACAACCATCCATCAATGGGTCATCAAATTAGGTAGGTACTCCTGCAGCCTCTTCAATATTACTGCTGCTTCTCACAACAGTGAAACACCTCTGCCAAGTACCACTGCTACTTGAAATTCCACCATATACATGAAGTTCCTCTACACAGGCTTTACTATACCCATGTAGTTCCACTACATACTTGAAGCTTCACCATTCGAACTTTTATTACACTCAAACCTCCTAAGCGAAGTTCCCAATACACGAACTTCACCAAACACGAACTTCACCAGACACGAACTTCACCAAACATGAACCTCACCAGACACGAACCTGTAATTTCATTTCCATACCATAATAGCATATTCCCCTATCAAACATAACAATATTTATAAATTAAATTTCACCCTACAATGTCCTACTCTGCGTGGCGTCTGCACTGATAGTGTACTTCCCCACAATGGACAAGTCCACCCAGTAAATCTCCTGTCCTCTGGGGGCTCCCTCAGTTGTATACGGCACTTATCTGCGTGAGCATATGTTGCTCCCTCCTCCTTAACGTGAAATTATCTTCAACTCATTATGTTGTCTCATTATTTTCACCAACTTTCTAACCTACATTTACATACGTCCTATAAGATCGCTGGGCACATGTTCAAACTATAACATGCTATACTTGACAGAATACTGGTCTTTTACCACAAAAAGATGTTGTGACGACACCTGTCCAACGTCGCCCAAATATGGCGCTCTTCCCGGTCAACAAATTTCTCTTGGACGTGCCACTATTGGCACCTATTTGTTCTGACTTGAGCAGGAGAAGTTGCCTAACAGGTGTCACACAGGAACATCTGCCCAATTTATCCACTTAAAAGATTTACACACAGTAGGGTCCACAGAGGCACGACCACTCAATAGGCTTCAGGCCGCCCTATATTCTTACCACAATAACAGAGAGTACGTTACACGTCGTCCTCCAACAGCTTCCTCATGTGCACTCACTTTATTTTGATATTTTATTAAAGATCATAAATGTTGGAAAGTTTCCTGATTTTATTTTGTTTCTCAAAGCATCTGCATATGAAAATTTTGTATTTTATCCTCTCATCTATATAAATATTACTGTATACTAGAGGGGGGAACCCAGCTGTGCCCGGGGTCTCTTTCTCTCTCACTTCCCCTTTCACTACTCCTCCCTTCTGCAACCTTTCTTCCCTAACATCCTCCTCTCCCCTTTTACCCCTCTCCGCTCCCACCTTCTCCACCTTTCTCCGTCTTCTTTAGACACTCTCCCTCTCACTTTTTCCTTTGCTCTCTTCAAACATCTGGCCCCCTCCCCTCAACCCTTCTTCCCACTTTCTCCTATCCTCTCCCCGCTCCCCTCTTTCTCTTCCTCGGAAGAATGTTACAATGAACTGAAATGTTTACTTAACCCCTGCTACTCTTGCAATTACTGTATACCCTGCAAACATGCCCAGGTGCAAGAAATAAAAAAAATCATCCTAGTGTTCATTTGTGTTCCCTGATCACGGGAAAAATAATAATATCATAGGTGGCATATTTTGGTTGCAATAGGGCAGGGAGGTCTGCTTCGCCTGAGCTGTCAGGCGGGAGTCGCCACAAAGATATTATGACCTAATTGATTCAATGACTGATTAAATAAATTTTTTCTCTATTTTGCGGTAATATTATTCGATAGTGTGTAGTGTGACATATTTATATAATAAAATGTGTGAACCAACCGTACAACTAAACTGGTATGGTGAGTCAAAACAATAATTGAGGTCGCCACACAGTCAGCTGATGCTCCCTCTCTCGCTCTCCAACATTCCTTGTCTCACTATACTATTTGTGCTATTTTTGCACTATATACACATTATATATAATTTTCTAGATGTTTTGTTCATCATAACTGTACAACTAAGCTGGTATGGTGTCCAAATAGCATAGTGGCCACAACAAAATTGCATGACGAGACGCACCAGCCAGCAAACGACGCCACCTCCCTCACCCAAATGGCTCCTCCCAACATACTCCTTTTGATGTTATATATAATGTGTGTATATAGTGAAATAAAGTATCTGCATTTGTGTTCACCATAGCGAACCACTAAGCTGGTATGGCGAGTGCAGACAATAACAGGTGGCCACACAGAGCCAGCAGATGCTACCTCCCTCAACAAGATTACTCTTCCCACCATACTATGCACAGTACTAATTATCACAACAATCCTGCTATTATCAGAATTCTAGTCATTTTTATCACAGGGGTCTTCTGTAATACTATCATCACTAAATAATACCAGTTACATATATATTTTGACATTTTTAGACAATGCTGTGGTCACAAACTGAACAGCAGTGCTGTTAGCTCATGCTGCGTGCACCAGCCTCGGTTGCTCACTCAGTACTGAGGCTCTCACACCCGGGAATGTTGCCCACAATTTTGTTTCTAAATGACGTCTGTTTACAAGAGCCCTGAGGAAGCTGGTGTAAACCCCTGTGTAGCCGCAGAACTTTTAAATCTTGTGCAGTACTCCAACACATCAATAGCTATGGTGCACAATTCCGCGACAGTTACTCACCGCAGCTATTGATGTTTTGCGCAGTTTAAGGGTTTAATCTATGGAAAACACCGCCATTATTTCAGACTATGAAAATCACGAATGGGAAAGGGGGTGGGTAAGGTTAGATGCCGATGTTAAAGTGTGGCATTGGATCTGACCCTGACTGGCCTATGACATTCCCATACACCACATGCTTCAGTCATGAAAGTTGGGTGAGGTTATCCTCAAGTGTCTTGCCACCAACCTTGGACACACATTCTCTCCTATATATTATATATATACTGTATCTATAATACTGTATATATATAAATATATATATATACTGTATATTTATATATTATATATAAATATATGTTTATATAATTTTTTTTTTTTTAAGGTTGAGGGTCTATTCTCATTAATAAAGCTGTTTTGAACACAAAGTGTTTCCAAATAATTTTGAAAACACACTGTGTTCATACTTGAAAACTGAAAATTTTGAGCAGCAGAGTTGGCAGTTGTCGACGGTTGAGCAACACTGGATTTTTAATTTTGGAAAAATTGAACGGTGGAGCACGATTGACAAAACAAAGTTAAAAGAAAAACCTTCATAAGGAAAATTTTGATACCTTATGAAAGCTTTTCATGCACTGTTGGTACTGAATTCAAAGAAATTATTGCACTTGGATATTAACCTCAAGTTGGTGTTACATTAGGAAAGAGAAGAGAAGGACCTCCGTCAGCAATGAAGCGCGAAGCACCCGGAGGCGACGGTGACAGCAAGAGACTGAAGCCAGGAGACAGGTGGGTGCACAACCAAGATGAAGATGTGTACGGTCCCAGAGAGCTAAGTAATTGGAATGACATTGTGGATCATACTGAAGATATCTCTTGGTATGTTGAGGAAACCAAGAGATTAGGTGAGTAACACATTAGCTTTATTATATTGTGTGTGTTGTATATTGGTGTTGAACACTCATAGCCATCACAGAGCCTCTTTACACAGTTAAAGTTTAGGATGGAGAGTGGTACACGTGGGTGGAGAGTGGTACACGTGGGTGGGGAGTGGTACACATGGGTGGGGAGTGGTACACATGGGTGGAGAGTGGTACACATGGGTGGAGAGTGGTACACATGGGTGGAGAGTGGTACACATGGGTTGGTAGTGGTCTTTATATAGGATGGAGAGTGGTACAAGCTATGCCACTTTTATTTACACAGGTGTTTGTCATCAGGCAGCTGAGCAGTTACAGCGCCGCTCCTGTGCCAGGTACGTCCACTACGGGCTCGCCATAGCCCGTGCTACTTGGAACTTTTATTCCGTGTAGCTGAATCTACAACATGAGTAGCAGTAGCTTGGCGACTGATGTACCTTTAGTTAAGCTTTGACCTTAGATTTGAATGTGGTTGTTCAGTAGTCATACTCTCAAGACAGATCTTCATGGTACTGCTTGTCAAGTGTGTCTTGGATCTCTTGTTTGAATTAACCAGGAAATCCTTGCTAGACATTTTGTCCTTTAAAATGTAATAAGTTGTTTAGACTGCTTGTTCCAAGTCCTTTCATTCATAAGTCATCTTTAACACAAACTCTTGTACTGGGCCACTGATCTGTCTCTTCAGGTAGAAAACAAATATAGTTTGTAGACTTTAATTAAAAATTTAAAAAATTTCTTTGTTCAAATTAAAATCAATTTATATTTGAATACTGTCCTAGGTTTTTATGTAACTTCTAATCCAGTTTGTCATTTGAGTTTCCCAATAAATGTGAAAATTCAGTGTTCTTGGAACAATTCAAGTAAATTAAGCCAAGCAATGCGATGGCAATTAATTTAATTAATTAATAATGAACCAAGCGATGGCCCTTGTGCTCAAGTTTTTTTTTATGCCAAATTTATTTATGGAGAACATTTTAGTGTCTTAACACCTAGGCATAAAACGTTATAAAGAACTTGATTACAAAAGTTAAGAAGAGACTGAGATAGAATGGCAATACAGTGGTTATTGTAGAGAATTTTGTTCACTTGATGGTTCATAGCAGTTTGGAGATAAAAAAAAGTGTGGAAAAACAGTAGTCCATTTCACTTTATCACTGTCAAATTTAAAATTGGGATGCATTTAACTCTTAAATTTGAAAAAGGTACACAGTAACTGAGAGACGCTCGAATACAAGTATTGCATTACTCTGAAAGAGGTTACACGATATGAAATTTCCAACCCGTTCTCGCACTTTCTTTAAGTCAATATTGACTTATTAAATAAGTGCATATGTGACATACTAATTTATCGTGAATATTTTAGTTTACCTTGAAGAGCTTCATAGAAAACACTGACCTTACCTAACCTTCTTAGTATGTTAAGATAAGCATCTTATTGCTTCGTAATTACAATTATTACTTAACCTATTATAGGTTAACCTATTATAGGTATAGGTTAACTAATAATTGTAATTACGAAGCAATAGGATGCTTATCTTCGTAATTACAATTATTACTTAACCTATTATAGGTTAACCTATTATAGGTATAGGTTAACTAATAATTGTAATTATGAAGCAATAAGATGCTTATCTTAACATACTAAGAAGGTTAGGTAAGGTCTGTGTTTTCTATGAAGCTTTTCAAGGTAAACTAAAATATTCACAATAAATTAGTATGTCTCACATGCACTTATTTAATAAGTCAATATTGACTATAAGAAAGTGCGAGAACGGGTTGGAAATTTCTTGGAAGCGATGGGTCATTAAGGTAGTTTTTGAAGAGGTAGAGAGCAATTTTGTAGCAGATCAGTGATTTAAGTGTTGATGTGTGGTCAGGTAGACTAGGTAGACTGATCAAACAAACACCTCAATTGTGTACACAAATTTGGTTAGGGGAAGCTTGCCCAGAAGTGAGAGCAGTATTCAAGGCAAGAGTGTGCATGGCATGTAAGCAAGCGAGAAGTGAAGCACGATTTTAACTTGGAGGCTGCCCATTTTTTTTTAAAGTATTGACAATTACAATTAAATTTTTTTAAATGATATTAATATTTTATTTTTACAGTATGTATTAATGAAAAGTTTATATTCCTAGTTGAGCAGTTTGGGAATTTCGTGGCAGTAAAACCTGTCAAAGATCATCCAGAAAGAGTGGAATACTATTGTGAGGTAAGGCAGCAGTTGACAGAACTGCTCTACTTGCTACATTCTTGCTTGGTAACAAGATAACACCCAGACATAAACATGTGAAATTGCTAGCTATATGAGAGGTTTATTATTATGACGTTATATACTCAAGGAAACTTTTAGCAACTAATGAAGTAAAATTAGGAATTTTAGCTAGATCACTGATGCCTGAATGACAGGTAATGTTTTATATAGCCCTAGAACAATCAACATAGGACAACACACAGATCACTAACTTTGTTAATAATTGTCGTGCTGGTGTTAGCAGAGCCGATTGAGATAGAGAAATTTTTTTTATCATAAGTTGCATTCATAAAGGTTTAACCACTGCACTGCTCTGCATTATAGTATGACACCCCCCCCCCCCCCCCCCCCGTGGTGTGCCAAAAAAAATTCTGTCCAAAAAATTATTTTTTGTTATACAGTACTTTTGAAATACAGTCTCTGATCACGGGAAACTAAAAAAAAAATTGTATGTGATTTACTTTAGCCATGATAGAGCTGAGAAGTTGAGTAAATTATGGGGGCTGAGTGATGCAGCGGCAGTTGCTGCGAATATAACGTTACACAATTACATGTATTTTGATGTTTATCATTCGTTTCTCTGATTATTTGCTGTAATATTATTCAAAAGTATGGAATTTATATAGTTCAATATGTGGAACATCTATATGCACAAAATATATATATATATGTGTTCGTATGTGTGACATATATATTATATTTTACGATCAATCAACAGTGGTTTTGCCGTTATTACACTATATACAGTGGAACCTATATACTGTACAGTGGAGTTACGAGCGATTCGAGTAATGAGTAAGCCACTCGCAGAAGATTGATGAGCTTTTGCTCGATTAACGAGCAAACCATATGGTGCTTCCTAGCGTTCCGGCTTGTTCTTGGACGCCTCTGACGAGTGTTGTTGTTTCGCAAGACGAGCATTTCACATGACGAGCTCGGTGCCGAAATGGATTAAATTCATTAATTGAGGCGCCACTGTACACACTTTTCATTAAATATACCTATCTACATATGTGTTTACCATAACTAACCACTACGTTGTTATGGTGAGGCCAAAAAAGAGTGAGCTGCCACACACTCGGCCAGCCCTCTCTCACTCCTTCAACCCCTAACTCGCCAACATTACTCCTCCCACAATACTGTTTGTGTATTTATTACACTATTTACACATGTTATATACAAGTATCTACAAGTTTTATTCACCATAACTATACAACTCCGGCTCCGGCTGGCCGAGTAGACAGCACGTTGGACACGTGATCCTGTGGTCCCAGGTTCGATCCCGGGCGCCGGCGAGAAACGATGGGCAGAGTTTCTTTCACCCTATGCCCTTGTTACCTAGCAGTAAAAAGGTACCTGGGAGTTAGTCAGCTGTCATGGGCTGCTTCCTGGAGGTGGAGGCCTGGTCGAGGACCGGGCCACGGGGACACTAAAGCCCCGAAATCAACTCAAGATATGACAGTCACAAACCAGCCAACAGATGACACTAGGAGACGATGCTATTTTTCTCGCCAAAATGGCTCCTCCCAACATACTTCTTTTGCTGGTATTGCACTCTATACACACATTACATATAAATATCTACATGTTTTATTCACCATAACTGTACAACTAAACTGGTATGGTGTCCAAATAACATAGTGGCAACAAAAAACTGCATAACAAATCACACAGCAGCCAGCAGATGACACAAGATGTCGCCATCTCTCCCTCCCTCCCTCCCTCACCAAGATTACTCCTCCCACCATACTATGCTGATTTTCACCACAATCCTGCTATTATGAAAATCCTGGTTACTAAATCCTGTAAATGAATAAGTTTCCACACGTTTATTTTGTAAAGGAACATGAGAAGTCGTTTGAATATTCTTAGATGGATGAAATAATAGCAGTGTCTTGTGGCTAGCGCTGTGAACAGCTTGAACAGCATTAATTCAATGATATCTGAACACTGCACACTGTCTTTATCACAGTCAGGCTGTTCTGTAATATTATCATGGCTAAATAATACCAATTACATATATATTTTGAGATTTTTTGGCAATGCTGTGGTCACAAACTGAACAGCAGTGCTGTTAGCTCATGTTGCGTGCGCCAGCTTTAGTTGCTCACTCAGTACTGAGGCTTTCACACCCGGGATTGTTGCCCATGATTTTGTTTTAAATGGTGTCTATTTATGAGAGCCCTGAGAAAGCTGATATGAACCCCGTGTAGCCGTGGGTGTTTTGAATGCTACGGTATTCTTACAAGCGCCCTGAGGTGCATTGTACACTAGCGCCCTGAGGCGCATTGTAAACTGGCGCCCTGAGGCGCATTGTACACTAGCGCCCTGAGGCGCATTGTACACTAGCACCTCAAGACACGTTGCGCAGTGCAGTGGTTAAGGCTATAGTATGAAACTAATATTTGTAGTTTAGGATGTGACACATCATATAGAGTACTCACGAATTCTCCTGGTTATACCTTCAACTCTATATTTCATCTCTTTCATTATTTTTTAAATATGTTTAGTAACCAATGTTTGACAAATTTTGTTAACTAATTATTGTGAATAAAAGACCTTGCTTTCATTGTTTTCAGCTTTGCTTTGCAATAATGAATGCGAAGAAATCCCTGGAGATTCACTGCAGTGGTATGAAGCATTTAAAGGTAACAAAACACAACTTATTGACCAACAGTACTTTGTTTTTATGATACAGACATGCTGTACTTTGAGCTGCCATTTGTACAGACTTTGTAATAAATTACAGTTTGAGAATTGGTGTATTATCAAGGTTGATATCTTGTCGGGGTCAAAAAGTGTTAATTCTAGAAAAATGTAAACATTATGAAAGGAGTAGGAGAAAAATGATAAATGTACAACCATTTATGAATCAAAGAGATTTGATTTGATTTGATTTATTATGACTTGAGATGTTTGAAATTATAGGGTTGTAAATACTGAGTACTTACATGTTACATTGAGAAGTGAGAGTGTAGCAGCAAGGCTGTGGTTATGCGCTACCACCAACTTCTTGCCTTATGACATTCAGTAAATGTTGCATATTTATAAATATGATTATAAATATGCATGCATTTACTGAAAATTTAATATTATTGCCATATAAATTTTCAGCAGGGATTTGTACGTTGTGAAAGCTTCTCCAGAACAACGCTGTCTCTGGTTAGCACTGGATGTGAGAATTTGTGGAAATATAATTCATATAGCAAATGCAGTCAAAAGGCAAATGTGGAATAGGAAAGGGCAAAATAAAATAAAGCTGAGAGTTTGATGATAATGCAAATACAGTATTTAATATTCACTAAAACAATAACAACTAACTGACTTAGTATGAAGAAATGTGAGGAAGATATGCTAAATGATGGCATTATGTATTTGTTGGTTCCCTTGAGTTGGTTATGAGGTGTACAATTCCTTGTTACATTTAGGAGGTCATTCCACAGTTTGGGATCCTTTATTTACATGGCATTTCTGTTGTGGTCGAGTCATGCTCTTGTGACACGAGTTAGATCTTTGTTACCCGGATGGTATCCACGGGTGGTGTCCACGGGTGGTATCCACGGGTGGTATCCACGGGTGGTGTCCACGGGTGGTGTCCACGGGTGGTATCCACGGGTGGTGTCCACGGGTGGTGTCCACGGGTGGTGTCCACGGGTGGTGTCCACGGGTGGTATCCACGGGTGGTGTCCACGGGTGGTATCCACGGGTGGTGTTGCAGCCCTCCAAGATGTGAGGTCAGGATTGGCAATACAGTTCAGTGTTTTATAGATATAGAGTATACTTGAATGTGTGTATCAAGTGCTTCTATATTTATATTTACTATTTTATTATGTTGTACATTTACTGAAGACAATAAACAAGGTGCATTTGGGGAGCCTCTTTAAACTGACGGAAATTGGAACATGGACGTAGATGGAAGCTAAAAATGCAAACGAGTCTAATAAATATAAGGAAATACTCTTGTGTGCTCAGCAAGTTGATATGACAAAAAACTGGAAATGCCATAAAGTTTATGTAAAAAGTACTTGGTACAACAAGGCAAATAGTTGTTTAAAGACCAAGATCTAACTTCATAGTTAGACAAGTATTGTTAGGTAATCATGGCGAGTATCATCGCCATTGCACGGCGAGTGGGACCGTGGCCACCTGCACGGCGAGTGGGACCGTGGCCACCTGCACGGCGAGTGGGATCGTGGCCACCTGCACGGCGAGTGGGATCGTGGCCACCTGCACGGCGAGTGGGACCGTGGCCACCTGCACGGTGAGTGGGATCGTGGCCACCTGCACGGCGAGTGGGATCGTGGCCACCTGCACGGCGAGTGGGACCGTGGCCACCTGCACGGCGAGTGGGACCGTGGCCACCTGCACGGCGAGTGGGACCGTGGCCACCTGCACGGCGAGTGGGACCGTGGCCACATGCACGGCGAGTGGGACCGTGGCCACCTGCACGGCGAGTGGGACCGTGGCCACCTGCACGGCGAGTGGGACCGTGGCCACCTGCACGGCGAGTGGGACCGTGGCCACCTGCACGGCGAGTGGGACCGTGGCCACCTGCACGGCGAGTGGGACCGTGGCCACATGCACAGCGAGTGGGATCGTGGCCACGGTGCACGGCACGAGTGGGACCGTGGCCACATGCACGGCGAGTGGGATCGTGGCCACCTGCACAGCGAGTGGGACCGTGGCCGCCTGCACGGCGAGTGGGACCGTGGCCGCCTGCACGGCGAGTGGGACCGTGGCCACCTGCACGGCGAGTGGGATCGTGGCCACCTGCACGGTGAGTGGGACCGTGGCCACCTGCACGGCGAGTGGGATCGTGGTCACCTGCACGGTGAGTGGGACCGTGGCCACCTGCACGGTGAGTGGGATCGTGGCCACCTGCACGGTGAGTGGGACCGTGGCCACCTGCACGGCGAGTGGGACCGTGGCCACCTGCACGGCGAGTGGGACCGTGGCCACCTGCACGGCGAGTGGGACCGTGGCCACCTGCATTGGATCTTCCCAATGTGGTATGGGAAATGGCATCAAAAGATGAATTATTGAATTTGGAAACTAGTGGAAGGCTGTATGGAGGCGATGAGTCACAATAACGTGGCTTAAACACTAGAAGGTGAAGGGACGACGACGTTTCGGTCCGTCCTGGACCATTCTCAAGTCGATTCTCAATCAACTTGAGAATAGTCCAGGACGGTCCGAAACATCGTCGTCCCTTCACCTTCTAGTGTGTAGTCTGGTCAACAAGGAAGGCTGTAAGTTAATTAAGGTTAAGGTTTGATAAAGACAAGATTGCCAGTACAGTATTGGAAGTACTGTACTTGTGAGAGGTAGGCTAATGGCCCTAATGTAACTCATGTGACGTTTGAGTTGTTCTTAAGATATCCTCTCATTTTCTCTGAATATAATATGTTAAGACAGTTAAATTCTTCCTTATTCCATTAAAATGCAATAAGAAAAAATTTAATTAAATTTCTGATCAATAAAAATTAAGTTACCTTGATGGCATGTACAGTGTAATTTTATGAAATTTTAACAAACTTACAGTAATTTTTGTGTAAAAATTACTGTAAATTTGTAGTTACTCTGGATAGTAAAAATTATTACTATGGATGGTAGTACCTATAGTTACAATGGATGGTAGTACAAAATGCACATGGACTATTGCATGAGCACACGTAACCCCCAAACTAGGGGCACTGGTGGCGGAGTGGACAGCACGCTTGATACGTAGTCCTGTGGACCAGGATTCGATTCCCAGTGGAGGCGTAAACAAATGGGCAGTTTCCTTCAATCTGATGCTCCTGTTACCTAGCAGTAAAGAGGTACCTGGGAGTTAGACAGCTGTTACAGGCTGCTTTCTGGGGGTCTATGTGGGGGGGAGGGAATTGGTTAGAAGTTAGTATCAGTTGATCGACAGTTGAGAGGCGAGCCAAAAGAGCAGAGCTCAACCCCCGCAAGCACAACTAGGTGAATACATTTTATTGGATTTTTGTTGAAGGGCTGAGGAAGAAGGCAACAACCAAATTGACTTTTCCTAGACATAGTACAGTATAGTATATAGTATTAAATTAACTCTTAAGATTGCACATGTTTTGCCTAGCATTGTATATTTAACCTAGATTAGGTTCATTGTCACCTTGTTCCATTTTAGTACCATTTAATGTTTCATTAGTAAAAAAAAATGTGAAATTTTTAGAGGGTACAACAGTCAATTTATTTACATCCCATTCATAGTAGTTATCTAGGGTCTATTTTTTGGGGGGATGGGGGTTTTCCTTATCTATCATCGACTGGGGTTAGGTACCCAAAAAGGTAGGCATAACAAAACAAACCCCACATGGTAATAAAAGTACAAAGTTAAACCGAACCGAGATGCAGAACTCCCTCTAATCCCAAGGAAACGAGCAAATGTCACGCTCCACTGCCGCACTGCTTGTCCATGCCGCCCTCCCCTCCGCTCCCCTCCCCTTCTTGTGCCGGCTACCCAGCACTCCAGTTCGTTAGCTAATGCGTCCGGGGTGGATGTCTTCTCTGGCCTCGATTTCCATAGGCGGTGTTTTGCCTTCGTGGTGACCTGCAGTGTTGTGTGAGGTGGCCAGGTGTCTGCATCTGTACTGTGGCTGCATGCGCTTAGGGGCGTCCTTCCCTTGGCGCCCTGTGAGTACTGCCCTTACGTGTTAGGGTTCCCTTCCCTGGTGCGTTAGGGGAAACCATTTTCGTAGGGCTTTTTGCTGCTCGGCATTTACCCCGCCCTTGGGGCCAGCTGGGGTTTTGAGGCCCTTGTTTGGTCTTGGGTAGGGAATGGTATCGTGCTGGTTGGGGCGTCAAGGTGTTGTGCAATGTGCTTACCTACACAGCGGCCGGTTCCTGTTTCCTCTATGGACTTTTTTTTTCTCTCTCTCCTGGTGGGGGTCTCCATGGTGTGGCTATAGTTCCACTAATATTATTTTGATGGCGCTATGCTAGGTCCATGTGATTGTACACATTGCAGGGATTTCAGTGTTTTGATCTCCCCTTTGTTTGCATTGGGTGTTAAACTGTTAGCAACATCTAGCCTGAGCTTCCTGTAGCAGTCAGCCTATAAGCCCTGGAAAACCCTATTGGGACTCGGTGGACCTATAGATATGTCTTTAGAGTTCCAGCTCGCCTCTTGCAGGTTTAAAGGTTGCTGTGTGCCATTCTCAGGGTGACAGTCACCACTTTTGCCTCTGTCATGCTGCCTGTTGGGTCAACGACACCTTTGACCAAGAGTCTTCCGAGTTGTGTTCTCTGCTTGATCCCTAGTACAGTTCTGATGACATTACGGTTAGAGTGCAGGCAGCATCTGCGTTGCATGCTAGGTTTAGGTTGCTGCAATGCGCTAGGTTGGTTTCCCACCTGGATGCACCGGGGCTGCCCCGTTTTTGTTAGGCATTGTTCGCCCCCTCCCTGTTCCTGGCTCCGAACAGCCTGCGGGTTTTGGGGTCGGTGTGGGGTTTAGTTGGTGTTGAGACTCGGGTTGGCTTCGAGGGCTGCCCCCATTCAGGTTGGGGACAGAAGCATTCTAGCCTGCTCCTCCTGCCGAGGCTTCTGGGTCCTACCTTGTGCCTTTCCCCTGGACTGTGCCTTTTCTTCAGGGGTGGAGGGAGTGGAGGACGGCTTTGCCCCGGGG